CCATTCAAGGATATTCAAGGGGGTGGGGCCTGGTTAGAGAAAGTAGGTCACTGTGAGGGGATGTATTTCAAGGGTATATCCTGGTCCCCTCTGGGCTCACTGTTTCCTGGTCACCGGGAGGTTAACAGCTTTGCTTTACTGAATCCTTACTGTGACTTTCTGCTTCTACTTGGGCCTCTAAATCAATATAAGGATGTGATCATGGACTGAAAAATCTGAATCCAAGAGTCAGAATAAATCTTCTCCATTACATTGTTTATCTTACGTGTTTATCACAGTAACACACCACTGACCAACAAAGCCTTCTACTATCTTCCTCCTACCTAACTTTTTAAGATTATTCTTTGAGAGATTACTTTTATAGAAACAAATACAAGTTGGCTCAACTCATTCCAGTTAGTTTAGCTTTCATATATCAGAAAACACTGACATACTTACTTCTCCAAAACCCAGGGGGAAAAAGTATAAAAAATTCTTCAGAAAAGGAAGACAAGGCAATTAACAGAGATTAAAAGTAAGAATAGCACTGGCTTTCTCACCTCGAACATCTTCAGTTCAAAGTGACTACAAAAATGATTTTCTTTAAAGAGCTACAAGAAAATTATTCTTAAATAAGAACCACAGAAGCACAGGATTAATTAAATGTGGGGTAAAATAAGACAGTTTTCACAAATGGAAAAAATTTAAATATGTATATCTTCCATGCATCACTTTCTTGGAAAGATATTAGATAATGTGCTTAAGCAAAATATAAGACTAAACCTGTGAAGCAGAAAAGAACATATGGAAATAAAAAAGCAGGAACAAACACAGTGAAGCAGCAAAGGGTAGTGTATCGATGGCAGCAAAGCCAGTCCAGCACTTTATCAGGCTTGGTCAACAAAGAGCTCAAGGGATTGGTCTTTCAGAGCAAAAAGGAAGATTCACAAAAATAAATAGATAGATAGATAGATAGATATTTTAAAAGGTTCTAGATTTCCTCATGGTTACACATAAAGTTAATTATCTCCTAGAAACTGCAGAAATTATTCCAAAGAACAAAATACAATCATGGAATATTATTTTGCTCAAAGTAAATAATATACTTATATCATGAATGTGTGTGTTTTTACTGAAACCTTCAAAAATGATGGTAGAGAAAAAGAACAATAACTAAACCCAAATCCTATCTCTCAGATTAGGAAATAGAATGATAGTTTCTAATATTGATGTGATAACAAATCACAATAGCCATTGCTGTTTACATCTGTAACACTGAATACCAAGGAGCAACTACATATTTCAAGGTCTTTAGGACCAGGTTTGTAGCTCCGAGAGAGAATAGCCCCTAGCTTTAGTGAGGCTTTAAGTTTGATCATCAGCACATACACATATGCACATACATACACACACACATAACATACATACATACATACATATTTAATATATGGCCAAGAACGTATGGTGGCTAATGCCTCTATGCCCAACTTCTTGAGACATGGAAGAGGATTACAATTTGAGGATATCTCAGCCATCTCCCCCAAGTTGGTGTGACCCAGTGTCAAAGAACAAGCCAGGCATAATGGTCAATACCGTTAATGCCAGCTAATCCCAGCGATACAGAGGATGAGTAGCAGAATTGTTGTTCAAGGCTAGCCCCAGGCAGAAGCATAAGACCCTACTGAGAAGTAACTTAAGCACAAAGTAGACTGGAAAATGTGTGGCTCAATTGGTAGAACACCTGCCTAGCAAGAAAAAATATGCCAATATTTTCCAAAGAATAAATATAAAAGAGAGAGAGGAGAGAGAAACTCACAAAGTCTTTTCCTGTGGTGTATCACTGAAAAAAAGATGTGAAAATACTAAGCTGTGGATGATACTTGTAAAAATCTCTTAGTAATATTTGACTTTTATTTCCCCCTTTTGAGATAGGATCTTGGGATGTAACTCATGCTGGCCTCAGTTTCCCTAAATAACCCAGGCCCAGGCTCATTTAAAACTCACTATCCACCTGACTCATCTTCCCTACTGCTGGTATGACAGATATGTGTCACCCCACCTAGGCCTGCATTTAACAAGAACCCATTGATTTAGATTTATTTTTAACAGGACAAAAGTGAAATCTTTCCTCTATATGCTCATTGTGTCAGGCTTCAAGTTGCTGTGGTGTATTTTACAGGAATAACGAATACTCATTTCATTAAACACATTGAGTAGATGACTACATTGCTTGGCAATAAAAATGAACCCCTACTACAAATACATGTTGTCGTTTTATTTCCCTTTCTCCAGATCACTTGGAGGATGGCTCAATCTATTTTGTCTGTAGCAGCCACAGAGGCGGAAGGAGGCTGGGACTTCAGAAGGCCCCTGAGCACTGTCTGACATTTTAATAAGTTCATCTCTTATGTGCATTAGTGAGTACTTGCTAATAGAAATTTAGCTCAGCAGTTCTGGGAGGCCAGAATTTACCAGACATCTAGTACAGCTACAGTCAAGAAAATCCACTGATGTCAAAGAAAGCCCCTTAAAAAAAAAATGAGTAGTACCAAAACCATTTAGCCTAAGTGCCCAGGCTATTGCTGATAATCCCTAACATGAGGAAAGAGGTCCAGAACCTGTTTTAGAATGTGTAGAGCTTTATTATAGTTTTAAGATGGTTTAAAAATAAATGTTTAAATAATTAAATCAAGCATTTCCCAGACACTCGAAAGCACCTAACATTTATGTTTTCAACCATAATGATTGCCCTAGTTTCAGATGATAAGAGCTAAAAAAGCCACTGGGTACATAGTTGGGGGTAGGGGTGGAGATTCCCTTTTGCTACATGTGAGCTTAGCGATCCGCGTGGCAATTCTGTACTGCACTCACACCTCATTTTAACACTTTTTTTTTGTCTTAGTTTTAACCAGTGAGTAATCTGAAGCTAAGAGATGGCACATATAACTTTGACAGTGCCACTACAGACCTGATAAGGAGGAAATAAAAGAGACAGACTCCTTCCTCATACCACCCAGCGTCATGCTCCCATGGTCTTTGCCTTCTGTAACCCTACAACTCCGGGTGTCATGCCAGAGGGCACTTAGGACTGACGACAAAAAGCCTGGCATGCTGCCTCTGGCTGTAATGGAAAGCCCTCTTGAGTAATGGTCACAGTGCGAAAACAGAGGCTCCTTGTGAGTTGAGAGGTCTCCGCCACCTTCCTCTCCAGCGGAACTGACAGAAGAGAAAGCAATAAAAAAGAAATCAATACAAAGTTAACTTCACTATATCTATGATTGAGTTTCAAAAGACTATCTATACATGTGTTTGTTGTCATTGTGCTTGAGCACTCCTGAACCTATGGCTGAGGCTTTCAGCTGAAAACTCCTAAGCTAGCAAATTATGTCAACCCTGTTAGACTGAACAGTAAACTGAAAAAAAAAAAAAAAAAAACGTGGAGACCAGACTTAGGGAATAGCAAATTGAAAGAACATTTCTTGACTTCTATTAACCATACAGGTACTCATGTATCTCAGTCAGACGAAGGTCCCTATCCCACTTGATCTTAAACTGCAATTGAAAAATAAAGAAAAGTACACATTAAACTGATGTTTTCCAACAGCATGACAATCAGGGGACGTGGATGTCAGTGTTTGTTTCAGTGGTTTTAAACTAAGATGGCAAAACAACTTGTCCCAATGACATTTACACTACAGAAAACCATGGTATTTTGGTTTCATGCCTAAAAGAAACAAATGGCTCTGAGAACAAGAATGAAGAGGAAATTTGATATCCATGGCAGAGAATGCACATAGTGCTAAGCAAGGGAACTTCAAGGAGTCTCCATTTGAAAGGTCCAGCTGAGTTGTTCCTTTGAGAGAATCATTGGAAATGAAGAGAGTCAAGGTCAGACTTCCTGTTGTGAATAGAGGGAAAACTATTTTACCATAAGCCCTGTTGAGGATGGAAGTGCATGCTCAGGGTTCAGTGGCTGACGATGCTAGAGGTGAAATTTGAGAAAAGGATGGCAGCCGTCCTAATAAAAAGAAGGATGACATTCATCCTTCCCTTGTGTTTCTGAGGCTGAGAAATGTAAGTGGACAGATAGATAGATAGATAGATAGATAGATAGATAGATAGATAGATAGATAGATAGATATAGAGCAGATAGCTAGATTCATACATAGAGATAACGATAATTTAGAAAGATACATACAGATACATAGATAGAGTGATGGATAGAGATAGAGAGGCTAGATAGATGATAGAGAGACAGACATATATAGAGATGATAGGTAGATATATATACATACATAGATACATAGATATAGATTCCCTACTGACATACAGATATTTGTATGTATATCTATCTGTATATGTGTATGTGCATATATATGTCACACATATGGACAGTTCTCTGTTTATATTCTGTATTTTATATATATGGTTAAAGCTTTTGACATAACTACCAGAGCAAATAAAGCTAGTTCTCCATTGAAGCAAGCAGAACTGAGCAGCAATTTAATAAGCTAGCAAGTCAGAAAGCCAAAGGATGCATTTTGATAAGAGAAAATAACCTTCAGGGTTGGAGACAAGTTTTTAGATAGAAAAGTGGCACTTTTTTCTTTTGCTGCCAAAAACATAATATTCAGTTAGCAAAGATCTATAGTACCTGCCATTCAGCTGTGCTTGGGGAAAATATAAAAACTAGGTAATAAAGGTGCAAGAGTCTTGGTGCACAGAGATGGTGCTGCAGCTCCAAAAGAAAAGGCATAGAGAGGCCCCTCAAGCAGACACAGGAGGGCAGAGGGCAGACAAGCAAACATCCTAATAAGAAGCAGAACCCCAGGTGGCTGCACTCTGAAAACCTTGGAAATACCAAACACACACAAGAAAATAATAGCAAGGGCATTTTCTTATAGGTGATACAGCTCTTTAAACAAGGTTTTCAGCTTTTAGGGAGACTCAAATAAAAGAAATTATGATCTTCCTTATGTTAATGAATTGATGTATCCAAAATCACACAATTTTAAAGTTGAATGTTTCCAGAGCACATACACTGAAATTGGAATAATATAGAGAGGACCAGCATGGGTCTGTGCAAGGACAATATACAAACTCATGAAGCATTTCCTGTTTAAAAAATTGTGACACTAAGCACTGATGAATTAAGTATCTGATAATATTCTAGAGGAGCATCTCTAGAGGAAAAACACAGGAGCTGGAGAGAAGGTACGCTCTGAAGTGGGTGATGACAGGAAGACACTGAAGTTTCGGTAGTGAGCAAAGACCACCATACCAAAGAAAAATAGAAAACTGTAAAGTGAAAGTGAGGGGGCGAAAGACTACTCCATTAGTCTCCATTAGTGCCAAGTACAGGGTACAGACATCAGGTGTTTACTGAGAACAGAGAAAGAGGTAGAAGGAAAGAAAAAAGGGAAAGAAGGAAGGGAATGAGAGAGGTGCAGAAGGAGGGAGGGAAAGGGAAGGGAGAGAAGGAGGAAGTCCACTCATTTAAGAGATACCTAAATACCTATTTATTACACCAAGAGTCATAATATCCAAGTCAACCAGTGAAAAATATAATAGAGGGTAGTTTGACAATAAATCATAACACTCTTCATAATACAAAGGTTAAAAATGTGAATTGGCATTTTTTGAGTGAGAAATGCATATTGGTCCTTTTAAATTTATTTTACTTTGCTTTGTACTAAAAACAATTATCAATTTTACCAAAGAGAAGTCATTTTTCATTAGTTTATAATAGTGCACAAAGGAGCTTCATTCTTTTTCCATGCATGTGTCTTATGAGTTCTGTTCTATTACCAGTGCTCTATTAACCACTCTATTATCTTATTCTTCTACTTACTTACTACCTCTCTTTTATTTTGTAATTTTAATAGGTTTTGTTACATTATTTTCACACCCATATTTAGTGTCTGCCTGTAAGAGAAAATGTTTGAATTTATGTTTGAATGGGCAGCAATTACAAACATACACTCAAAAATGTGTTTTGAAAATGCGCTTAGAATTGTAGTGAAGCGGGAAATACAAAATAATAGTAAGCTATATTCCACCCACTAGATTTATAGAAAGTGGAATAAGGTTATCATTTCTCTTCTTCTTAGGGATAAAGGAAAATAAGTATTCTAAAAGAGAAAATGTTAAATTATTCAGCCTTTTTTTGGAAAGAAATATTTCAACATCTACTAAATTAAAAACATTTACTACTTTGTTCAGCCCACTTACCACCCTCTATCTTAGAAGAAAAAAAAAACAGAACAAAAAAGGCATATGTTATCCATGTCTATTACTTCATTATTCTTTTTTATAATTATCACTTACTTCATTGTTATAAAGGTGATGTGCATAGGGATTACAATGAGTCAGGTAATGAGTACATTTCCTTTCATATAGTGTCTTCCTTTCCTTCACATTATTCTTAATGTAAAACCAAAAGACAAAGAAAAAAATGTATTTCTTCAGGTGTTTATTTCAAGTAACAGAAAACCATTCTTGGTGAATTACAAAGAAATGGATTGATGCTGTCTCATGGTTCTGGAGGTATAAGATGGATGGGCTAGATACGGTGAAAGCCTTCTTGCTCCAGAGTCCTGAAATAACGCTGGATGTAACAGGGTAACAGAGACTGTGTGGTAAGAAATGTGTATGAGTATATATGAATCTCTCTAGGTCTCTCTCCCGCTTACAAAGCCACCAAGATTCAATCATGGTAATTCTAACTTCTTTTCTTTTCTTTTTGATTGTCAAGGTAATGGAAAGAGGGGTGACAATTACACAGTAAGGTAATAAGTATATTTCTTGTTAAACTTGATAATTCTAACTTTATGATTTCATCTGATCCAAATTTCTTCCCAAAGTTCCTACTTGCAAACATACTTGAATTAAGTTTCCATCATCTTTTTTGGCATACATTAATCATACAAATTAATGATTACAATGTAAATTTTCTGTAAACTCATGTAATATACTTTGATTATATTCTTCTCCTTCCCTTAGTCACCTCCTTTTAACTCTTACCCCATTGAGCTTTCCCAACATTCCCAGCAATCTCACTTCTACTTTCCTTTCATCTTTGTGTTTATTGTAAATTCAACATAAGTTTTCTGAGCCTGGCTTGCTTCACATGATGATCTCTAGGTCCCTCTGTTCTCCTGCTAATGGTATGGCTTTCTTCTTCTTCTTCCTGACTTCATTCTTTGTAGTAGAATAATACTTTATTTCCATCCTCTTCACACCTTCTTAAGTCCTTTAACTTCAACACATAAACACTTGATGACACATCCAAACAACATCCAAATATGAAACATACAATCTCTAGTTAATAGAGATATGCCAATACATATAATACATATAAGACAGAAACAATCTCTAGTTAATAGATAGGTCAGTTTATGTAAGACAGAAAGCAATTTCACAGAATTCTTTCTTTATATGGTTCCTCATTAACTCTGATTCCCATATAGGCTTCCCCTAGTATGAAAAGCAAAATGAAGCAGTATTGCTCCATTCTACATAGCAAGTCCTATTCCAAACCTCACAGTTATATCTTGAAAAGGCTTCTGGTCATGAAGCTCCAAAACACATGCATCTTGTTAACTTAATGGTAAAACATGATAAACTCTCAAATGTCAAGTCCATTCTATTAGAATTTGTCCTGTACATTTCACTCAAAAAAAATCCTTACAATGTTTTAATCATATCATGGTATAATTTAATGGTAATACTTATGTAATTCTATAATATGATAAGTTATTAGTGAGTTTCCTTGTTTTATGCACATGATACACAATGATTTAGGCAAGGAATGATTTCCTGGATTCTGAACACAAGGAAAATATCTCAATGTCATGTGTATTTTTTTGTATTTTTAAATAAGTTTTTTAATGTGAAAATGCTGTATAGAGGGGTTACAATTACATGAGCAAGGTAATGAGTACATTTCTTATCAAGCATTGTTTCCTCCTTTGTTTTTCCCTTATCATCCCTTCCCTCTCCACAACTACACTCCCACACCCCGCCTCCCTCCCCCCCATCTAAACTGTAAAGTTTGTTTTTCGAGGTCTTGTACATCTCATTGTTGCAATGGGTCCACCTATATCCCTATTTAAACAATTTGTTTTTGCCCTTCCTCTCCCCAAATTATACCAACAACAAATACAGTGAAAATGGGGTTATACCATAGGGAAGGACATACAAATCGTCAAAAAAAAATCACATGGAACCTTATAAATATGTTAGAAATAATAGCAAGAAAGAAAAAACCACTTGTGTCCTTGTCTTGGGGTCATGTGTATTTTGAAAGCAAATCCTTTACTGTATTTGGCAAGGGCCAAACTCTTACTTCATTGTTTGTTTGGGGTTTTTTGTTGTTTTGTTTGTTTGTTGCTTTTTGCACTGAAGCAAATAATAAAAAAGGTTGTTTCTCCTGTATTTACACTTTAACCATTACGGAAGACAACTCATAAGAACACAGTTTGTTTTTCAAAAATCGCCCTTGGGTCATTGCATCTTAATCAGAAACTGTTAACAGATTACTGTTTTAAAATAAAATAGAAGCAGGATCATTTAGGAAGCAGCACAGGGCTTCTACTCTATCACCAGTAACAGCCACCAAGATGCTATTGCCTGTGACCTGGAAGCATCACAGAGAAAGCCACAACCAGCACCTCTTCCTGGAATGCATGCCATGGCCCAGCGGAACTTAAACAATTATCAGGGCATTTCTCACTGGGATGAGATATGAATATTAGACGGTTTTGGATCAGAGCTTCTGACAAACCAGCAACCAATTTGCCTAATGGAAAAGTGATTAATAAGCACTGAAATTCATTATCTATTTCTTTATATTTTATTTTTCATTAAAGAAACATTTACAGGTTAAGATTATTTTCAAATAGCCCACAGCATTTTCGAGAATCTATCTCAATAATAGCCTAACTCAACACGCTAGGCTATGTATTTCAAACACCTCGACAAAATACAATGACTTTCTGTGAGTTAGTGGCTCACACCAACAACCCTAGTTTCTGGGAAGTCTTGAGATCCAGAAGACCATGGTTCAAAGTTATCCCAAGCAGAAAAGTCCTTGAGATTCCATCTCTAATATTACCAGTCAAAAACAGGGCTGCAGGCCTGGATTAGGAGGCAGATATGGCTCAAATGGTAGAGTGCTAGCTGAGCAAGCAAGCCAAGCAAGGCTCCAAGTTCAAATCCTAGTAACAACAACAACAACAATTAAAGTAAAAGTGATCTGCTCAAAATTCTCAGTGACTTTTTAAGCCACATCTCAGAACTGGAAAAGTTTATATTATAAATTAACAGAAATGCCAGGCGCCCGTGGCTCACGCCTGTAATCCTAGATACTCAGGAGGCTGAGATCTGAGGATAGCAGTTCAAAGCCAGCCTGGGCAGGAAAGTCGGTGAAACTCTTATCTCCAATAAACCACCAGAAAACCGGAAGTGGCGCTGTAGCTCAAGTGGTAGAGTGCTAGCCTTGAGCTGAAGAGCTGAGGGACAGCACTCAGACCCAGAGTTCAAGCCCCATGACTGACAAAATAATAATAATAATAATAATAAACAGAAATTACTCAATAGTCAGCTATAATGTTTTACATAATATATTGAAAACATTAGTATGCCAATATGTTAGGGCAAAGGGGAAAATAGCAAATGCTCCATGCAGCCATGAGACTTCTTCACTGAAGGCCACACAACATACACGATTCTGACAAGTACATATTCAACTTTTAATTTGGTCTTCTATTTATTTTGTTGACAGCAGTGCACTAAAAACTGAAAAAGACTGTCAGTTTTAAAGTATTTCCAAGTAGAGCATCATGTCATAGATTGTAACAGATATGGTGAATAATAATAGATTTAAAACTTAGATGCTAATACTAATTTTTAATTCTAATTTTCAAATGGATATTCTTAATGACCTTAGAGTCCAATAACTAATCTAATATTTAATTGCCAATGTCTATTTGCAAACTTAATTTTGACCTAGGAAATTAAGAAAAAAATGAATAAGAGAATTTTCACAACATCAAAATAGTATATAAAAAAATGGTAGGGCTCTAAAAATTAGCTTTGAAAAATCAGATGACTATAGAACTTT